CCCCAAAACCCCAAAACCCCAAAACCCCAAAACCCCTTTCAATTAAATATAATTGAATTTAAATTTTCGGTACGGAATGAGTATCAACTCGGGAATGCCTCAAGATAGCTGCATTATCTCAAAGACCCAGCACACCTCTAAAGAAGAGGAGCTGAGGAACAGACTTTATAATATCTCGCAGAAGAGACAGAAAGAATTACGTGCTAAAGAAAAGGAAGAGGACAACAAATTTGAAATTAGTGCAGACAATTTTAAAAATATGAGAGACACTCAAAGTATATTTAAGGCGGCAAAGAATTACCAAACTCAGTTGAGCAACCAGACTGATATGAAGATGGGCAAGTTTATTGACGAGATGAGGTCTGAGTTTAGTAGTACCAGCAATAAGCAAGGTATCCCTCAGCATATTTTATACCAACATACAAGGATGCTCGAGAGGCAGGTTAATTTATTAGAAAATAGCCAGAAAGCACTCACTGAGGTACTTAATAATAATATGAATGGATCTAACTCAAATGGGTATTCTTTGAAACAAGAAATTCAACAGGAAAACCGAATGATGATGCTCGATATCATAGCACCTCTTAACCAGAGATGTATGGAAATGAAACACTTGCATGAAAGCACAAGGGCTTGTGCAGATGGAATGGCTGGAAAAATGGAAGACCTGAAAAACATTATTGCTTCTTCTCACTCAATGAATGCCCCAATGCTGTCTTCAACAATCCAGTCAGCACCAGTAGACCCACTGTCACAAGCTGTTTCTAACCCTGAATATTTTACTAAGAATTTAGAGAATATTAAAACCCAGATGGAGGAGATCAAGAATCAGAGTATTGCTATTGAGCATGACATGGAGAATAGGTACAAAAATATGACAATAGATAACCTTCAGAAGAAATATATGCCTAAAACAATTACTCAAGAAATGGAAGATGCTCGAGAAAGACAGAAGAGAAATCCTGAACTCGAAGAGATCCTTACTGATTATGACAAAACTAGGAAGGCAGTCAATGAAAAGTTAGGAGGAGAGTTTGATTACGGAGAGTTCCAGTTAGACCTTAAAGATATTCTTGCTGAGAAGGATAAGATCCTGACAGATTTTAGGAAGACTGCTCTTGAGATCCCTCCTCCCCCTCCTATTGGGGTGAAGAAGTATAATTTCAAGACTAGACCTTTGAAACCTAAGCCAAAGCCTTTGCCTCAGAAGCAAAAGATCAAAGTTCCTGGGCCTGAGATTCCGAACAAAGATATTGAATCACATAAAGTGAAGCCAACTCCAAGTATGCCTGTAGGAAGTTCGAAGCCTTCTCGTAACAAACCTTCAAATGAGAGAAATCCAAGAAGAGGCAGGGATCAAGTCCATGTATCCGATTATCCTTCTCCAGGTAGGAACATCCATCTTGAAGAAGAGATGAGGGAGAAGAACCCTGTTGAGCCCACTACAGATCTCCTAACTCTGAAAAAGCAAATAGTTGAAGAAGTAGATAATGATCTTAAGAGGAACACAGCTAAAGGAAAATATATCGATCCTTTCAGAAGAGTCAATAACCTAGACAATGATATGGGAGTCATCGAAACCGTTGGTGTTGCTCAACCTGGCTCAGAAGAATCCAAGATGAGAACCCTCGACCGCGAGCTACACAGAAGAGATATAGGCGAAAGAGTAGCAGCAAGAAATACCCAAGATTCTCAGCCAGATCAGGATAAAGTCCTTGATGCTATCACTGATTTGATACTTGAGGAATACCTCAAGCATCATAATGAGTCTAAGGACTACGCAAGCATGACTGAGGAAGAGAAAAAGGAGCAGAGAGAGAAGGAGAATATCTCCTCTTTCATGGCTAGTCTCAACAAAAATCAGATGTTCGAACAACCTATCGATCCTACCATTAATGACATTGGAGAAGAGGTCATCCAAGAGAAACTTGACAGCATCTTTAAAGAATTTCAGAAGGATAAAAAGGCAGCAGACAGAACTATAAAAGCAGCTGAGAGGAAGAGGAATATTCATGAACTGATGAGAAGCTCCACCTCTCAGTTTGATAAATCTAAAAAGAAAATTAATTTTGAAATTGATGAAGAAAGTTGGGAAGAGTCTGGCAAGGAAGAGACCAAAGTTCAAACTAAGAAGAGTAAAAAGATCAAGAGTAAGAGTAAAGGTAAATTTGATAAGATTGAAGAAGAGAGTAATGAAGAATCTCCTGTTAAAAGCCAACAGATGAGTAGAGAGGTACATTCAACCCCTGTTGCCTCTGGATATGGATATGTTCAGACTCCTTCAGGTACAATGCCTGTAGCTGGACCTATGGTAGTCGGAGCTCATCCTGGAGCTCAGCAATTTATTTATGAGTCTGCACAAGCCCAGCCAAGTTTTAATCTTGGCGATATTCAACAAATTGTTCAAAATACCATTGCTAATGAGATGAAAAAGAATGTAAACTACTTAGAGAAGAGGAATGATTATCAGGGCTCAGCAGTTGTGCAGCAGCCTGAGGCTTTCCAGACACATAAAGTACCTACAAACGAGATGTCTGAGGAGGAAATAAAATTGAGAGCTGAAGAAAATGAGCTAAAGAAGGGAATAGCAATTAATATTGCTCCATATGCCCAACAAACTCTTGGAATTGACATTAATAGGCCTGTAAATGCTGGATATACAAACCCATTTTTGGGAGGAGCTGCTCCTAGAACAGGGTTGAATAATCCCAGATTAATCAACCTTGATGACTACGAGCTTAGCTCTGAGTCAGAGTTCGTCACAGATGATGAAGCAGATAAGGGATATAATGAAGATTTCTCAGACCTGAACATCACTAGCAAGACTAATGGCAAGAACAGGTACGATATTGTTCGTGAATCAGAAGAATATAAACAAAGCGATCCTAAGCCTAGCATCTCTCAGATCTCAAGCATTGAAATCCTGAAGGATAAGAAGCAAGGAAAGATAGGCTCTAAAGGAAGGAGCCGACCAAAGATAATGGATTCCGATCTTGATCCTGAAATTGAAGCTGCTAGGAAGAAATATAGAAAGAAAGGGAAAATTGATATAACAGAAGAAGATGAAGAGGATATTTAAACCAAGTTACTCTAAAAGTTGCTATTTCAATTATTCCTCGATGAATAGGGGTTTTGGGGTTTTGGGGTTTTGGGG